TGTCGAATAGTTCTGGCTACTACTTCAACTAGTGCCACTTCTATTACTCCTGCTACTATCATCACTACGCTTACGGTTACGGCCACGATTATGACCACCACTCTCACTTGTACTGCTTCTACGACTACGACGACCGCTACGACTACTATTGCTACTGCTGCGACGACTGCTACGACTACCACTACGAGTGCTACGGCTACTAGAGTTACCATCACTACTACTACGTCTTTTGCTACTACGTATTCTACGACCACTGCTACTACCATTGTCACTAAGTCGAACGCGGCGGCTATTAGTATTGCTTCTTCGATTACTTCCACTGTCTACCACGATTGCTACCACTACTTCTTCTTCTATGTGTAGTTAGCTAAAGATCATTACTACGACTACTTCCCCTTCTATTCCTGCGACTACTACTTGCACGACCACGGCTACGATGATTACGACTACGGCTGCGACTATTACGACGACTCCGATTATTATTACTACTACTACTACTACGACGACGACTACTGCTAATACGACTATTACTACTACTGCCACCACTACTACTAGGAGTACTACGACCCGCACTACTACTACGACTACTACTACTACTACTACTACTATTACTACTACTACTACTACCACTACTACTACCACTACCACCACGATTATGACTAGGACTGCGACTGCAGCTACTACCACTATTGCAATTATTTATATTAATATATGTTACAATTACTTCTACGACTACTACTATTACTACTACTACTACTGCTACTGCTACCACTAGCACTACGACTACTACTATCACTTCTACTACTACTGCTACTACCTACCACTACTTCTACTGCTACCACTACTGCTATCACTCATACAAGGTATACTATTACCAGTACTTCGACTACGAGGACGACTATTACGTCTACTCTGTCTTCTACCACAACTCTTAATATTACTTTTACTACGACTACTGCCACTACTATTACCACTGCTGCTAAGAATACTACGAGCTGCATTACCACTACTACGACTACTACAACTACTACTACTACTAGTAGTATTACTACGACTATGACTATGACTACTACTACTACTACTACTACTACTACTACCACGACTACTACTACTACTACTACTACTACTACTAGTGCTACTACGACTACTATTGCTACTACGATTACTACTACCACTCTTATTCTTGCGTCTACGATTACTACGCCTGCGACTATTACGATTATTATTACTACTACGACTACGACTACTACTACTACTACGACTACGACTACGACTTTTACTACTACTACTACTACTACTACTACTTCCAATGCTACTACTACGACTACTACTACTACTACTACTACGACTACTACTACTACTACTACTACTACTACTACTTCCACTATTACTAATACTAATACTACTACTACTACTCCTACTACTACTACTACTACTACCACTACTACTACCACTACTACTACTACTACTACTACTACTACTGCAACTACTACTACTACTACGACTACTACTACTACAAATACGACGACTATTATGAGCACGACGACTACTACGACTACTACTATTACTAGTATTACTACTACTACTACTACTACTACTACTACCACTACTACTACTACTACTACTACTACTACTAGTAGTAGTACGACTACTACGACGACGACGACTACTACTACTACTACTACTACTACTAGCACGACTACTACCATTAATAATAAGTTTACTACTACGTGGTAAAAAACATCGTCAGGTTTGGGGGGCTGCCTGGCTGCCGCCAGGAAACGTTTTGGGCCCCCCCTGGTTAGAGTTCTCACTCGTGGGCCTCTTTCGGGAGGGCCTTTTGGGCACCTTTTGCGAGACGCGTGAGCCTTGTAGGGGATATCGTGGAGGCCCCTTAGCCCGTTGAGGGCGCTCGTAAGACCGAAACAGCGAGAATGCGAACATCATACGAGACCCAGAAGTGTTTTAACGATTCGGGCCCATTGGGTCCGATACGGGCGGCTCGGCCACCTACAGTTCATATTGATTCCCGTGACGATAGATCGTGCTGTTGTTGGCAGTATTCGAGACGCGCGTGGTATGGATCGCAAGAGCGCGGATGGGTTTCCCAGTACTTCCCAGCGGCACCATGGCCGAACGCTCCACATGCCACGAGCAGCTAACAGTTCAGGCCAAGGCGCGAACAGCATGCGACCAACGTCCCGTAGTCGACCAGGCCCAGCAAGCAGCGCCAAGCCCCGCCCACACCACGTGGCCCCCGCCAGAGACACAACACCCCCGCATGAGGAAGAGAAAGGGAAGGAGAGGACAGGGCTTAGGGTGCAACCCCTGGGAGGAATTCAGCATCGGCGCTGGTATATCTGTATTCGAAGGCCGGCCTATTTCATCAGAGTCTTGGCTGTGTCGGTTCGACTCTGCCGAATCAGCAGGCGCAATCCCTGGCTCAAGCCGGCCTAATTTGGCTCAGTTGTCTTTTAATTTCGTTCGGCAGCTTTCAACCCTTCTTACAAAGACCTCTCAGGAGTTGGTTCCGGACAGGGCCTGGCGCAGGAGGAGGGCAAGTAGGAGGAAGGCTCTGAGAAGGCGCACGGCGACATATACATCCCCCAGAGCCGCCCGATCTCAGAGATTCTCGAGATCCGCCCTCGCCCTATATTATCTTCGTCGCGGCTTCGTTTTACTATCTTTTTTTGTTCCACCTCCTGGTGTTGGAGGGAGGGAAGAAGGAGGAGGGAAAGGATGAGGACCAGTGAAAACCCAAGAGTCATCAGCGATGTTGGAATAAACCCTCCCACCAAACTCCCTCTTCATTCGCCCTTACAACGGTTCATTCCCACTGAGGGAACTGCCTCATAAGAAGACATCCGTTTGAAGCCCCTGAGGCATGCCAACACATTGTTTCCGGGATTTCAACGCAACGGATCATATTGATGGTTGCGTTTTGACGATCCTGAATCGTGCCAGAAGGCCATTCCGGGGATTTGAACACCGCGAATCAACGTAACTGTGGCGCCTCGAACTCCTGAATCCTTCCAAAACACCACTTCTGGCACGCTGATCAGGGGGATCCGTGAAACGCTTGCAAACAAAAACGAGTGTGCGCGGCGCTAAGGCGAGAGCCGCATTTTGAAGAGGAACCGTCCAGAGTCCGTGAAACGCTTGCACGCGGCGCTACGGCGAGGGCCACATTTTGAAAACGATTCGCCCTCAAGATGTGAATTCCATGCAATGGTTTCAGGCGAATGTGCGCGGCACTAAGGCGAGAGTTACATTTTGCAAACGACCCGTCGACCATATGTGAAATTGTTGTCGCTTTGCAAGCTTCAGGGCCATACATGGTGAGAAAGTCTCAAGCGAAACGCCACGCCCGCCCTAACAACTGGCCTCGGGGTGCGACAGGTAGAAGTTAGATATAAGGAAAAGGGATGGAAGAGGAGGAAGAGAAAGAGGAGGAAGAGGGTTCTCTTCCTCCCTCCTCCCTTCTCCGTCCTGCATCCTGCTCCTCCTCCTGCTCCTGCTCCTGCTCCTCCTCCTCCTCCTCCTTCTCCCCCTTCTCCCCCTCCTCAACCTCAGACTCATCCTCCTCCTCCTCCTCCTCCTCCTCCTCGTCCTCTTCCTACTCTTCTCCTCGGGAAGTGGCTCGAAGACGCCGAAGATCACACAAATGCGCTCGGCGGCGCGCTTGTTGTGCCCCCTGGGCCGCCAGAGGGCCAGGTCCCCCAGTGAAAAAGGCCTTGCCGAAACCTTCCTGCCACATTCCTTGGGGGCCGCCAAGATGCCCCGCTCCCCTCTTCCAGGGCTCGTTTCGATTCCTCCGATTCGGTTCGACTTCGATGGGTTCCGATTCCCGTTCGATTCGGCTTGGGATTCCGAATCGGGTTCCGAGATTGCTCACTCGAGGCAAACTGGCCTTCCGACTTCTGGGGGATCCAACTTTTCCCGACTCGGCTGCCGATTTCCGCTGATCCGGTTCATGTCGATCGCCGATCCGATTCATCGATTCGATGTTGGGCTCTCCTGTCTCCAGTGGCCACTGGGAGCCGGCCACCGTGTCGAAGAGGCTGCGAGGGAGAGGGCCAGAGCCGGGGCAGTGGCGGCCCTCCCGGGCGTCTTTTTGTCTCGTCTTTTTCTCTTGTTGGTCCTCCTATGGAGGCCCGTCGGCGCCACGGCTGGGGCGCCGCCTCGAGAAGGGGGTCAGGAGGAGCCCTGGGAGGGGTTTTCGGGGGCAACGGTAGGGGGGGGATAGGCACAGGGGGGGGGAAACGCATCGATCCCCAATCGCCCATTGATCGCCGATAGGGGCCCAACAGCCCCAACCCGCACTGGAAGGTGCGGATTCACTATCGGGGTCCCATGGCTGATCCATCTGCGATGTATCGCCGATTCCAGGTCGATGCATCCCCCCTATGCCAGTCCCCCCCCTACCGTTGCCCCTCGGGTGTGGGGACCGATTTGCGAACACTGGGGCTGGGGCTGGAGAGCCGCCGCCGTTGTCTCGGCCTTCTCGGTCCTCCTGGAGGCGTCTCTCCGCCGCCGCGGCCAGCTCCTCCTCGGAGAGCGATTTTGGGGCGAGCCCCGAGAGGGGTCCTGGGCACGGCTTTGCGAGGATCGGGGCTGGGCTGGAGAGCCGCCGTTGGTTGTCTCGAGCGCCTCTCCTCCGAGAGGCCGGGAGTGGAGAGCTTACGGCGGAGGAGTTCCCTGAAGAAGGCCAGTGGTCTCCCCCGCCAGTTCCCCCGCAGGCTAGGGCCCGCACCGGCAGCAGTGGCACCAATGACCGACGGCGGCGTACGTCATTCCTTGTCCCTCCTCTGCATTCTCTCCCCATTCATCACCCTCCTGCCTGCACTGCTCTTGAGTCCCGCACGGGAGATGCCTTCCGCGTCGCTACGCCAGCGCCTTTCTTTTGAGGCCGTCCACCTCCGCGTCGGCGCGCAGGGGTCGCACAAGTAATCCGTGTCTCCGCATCTACTTGCCACTTTGATCCAAACAGCGGCCGCGAGATCGGAGCCCTGAAGACTGGGTACGGCAACTTGGCAAACGACCTCGCTGCCATCCGGAAGGTGAACGGCTCTGGCTCTAGCACGATGGAGGAGCGGTTGCTGAACGTCGAGAGGCTAATCCGCCAGGAGCGACTTCCCTTGTGGTTGGGCGCAAAGCCCCTGGGATGTCCCCATTTCCCAAGTCCCACTTTCACCTGTGCCGTTATCCGTTGTTGCCCCTTGCTACTGACGGACGGACTGAAACACCACCCCTCTCCATCTTCCTCGTCCCTTTCATTATTCAACCGCGGCGCGCATTCCGCTGGACCTCACTGCGTCGTCCTTGCCAGTTGTCTGCATACTCGTGGACACTGTGAAGGTGTTGGGTGGTGGAGGGCTCCCCAACCTGTCGTGTGAAGCTCGCGTGGGGGAGAAGCAGCCGCTTGGTAGATCGAGCGCAGGGGGGGCCTCTCGGGGGCAGTCTTGGACCATTTCGGGCTACCTGTAGGTTTCTTGGGGGCTGTTCTGGACCATCTCTGGCCACTTTGTCGTAGTCTTAAGGCCTCTTGGGGCTGTCTTGGACAATCTTGGTGCCTGCATCCCAGTGGTCCCCGCTGTTGGGCAGCTCTGGGACTCTCGAGCCCCTCCTGGTCAATTTGAGGGCCCTCGCAGGGCTCTTTTGGAGCCCTCTTGGGGCTACCACGGGGGCCAGGAAGCCCATTGGAGCCCGCCAGGGCAGGAACACCACAACCATTGAAACTCGATTGGTTTCACTGATCCTGGCAATACTGGGGAGTTCAGATGGGAATCTGGGAGCCATCAGGGGCCTCGCGGGGACCTCTGCACACCTACTGGAGACCGCAGAGGCAGAACGGCCGAGGTCATATACAAGAATGTGTGTTTGTCAATCTTCCTGGCCATCCTGGGAGATTTCTGCTCATCTTGGGAGGCTGGAGCGGGCCTCCATGGAGCCTGTCAGGACCTTTTGGGGGAGCCGTTGCCTTCTTGGGCCTGGACCGCCCTGGGCCGTCTAGAGGACTTCCAGGGGCACTCTGGGGCCGTCGTAGGGATCTCTCGAGCCTTCCTGAAGAAATATCAGCAGGCATGTGAAAAACAAGATTGCGCAAACCCCAATTGGTTTCTGTGTTGTTTGCCCTTCTGGGGCAGTGCATTGTTTGTGGGCACCGTCTCCAGCACGGGATATCTACATATTTCCACCCTCTGCATTCAGGACCCCAAAGGACGGATGGGCGGGGGGCGTCGGGTTAGAAAGGTGTGTGTTTGGTGAGCGGTTGCGTGTATGTGTGCTGTGTGTGCTGTGTGTGCTGTGTGTGCTGTGTGGTGTGTGGTGTGTGGTGTGTGGTGTCAGGTGTGTGGTGTGTAGTGTGTGGTGTGTGGTGTGTTGTGTGTTGTGTGTTGTGCGTTGTGTGTTGTGTGGTGTGTGGTGTGTGGTGTGTGTCGTGTGGTCTGGTCTGGTCTGGTCTGGTCTGGTCTGGTCTGGTGTGGTGTGGTGTGGTGTGGTGTGGTGTGTGTGTGTGTGTGGTGTGGTGTGGTTTGGTGTGGTGTGGTGTGGTGTGGTGTGGTGTGGTGTGGTGTGGTGTGGTGTGGTGTGGTGTGGTGTGGTGTGGTGTGGTGTGGTGTGGTGTGGTGTGTGTGTGTGTGTGTGTGTGGTGTGTGTGGTGTGTGTTGTGCGCGTGTGTCGTCATGCTCTGGGTGTGTGGTCACAACTCGTTTGGCGTGTTGAGGGCTTCGTAGCCTGGGGGGCGCCAGGTGGAAAAGTCATCGGGCTTTCTTAAGGCCAACTTGGCCATCTGTGCTTTTGTTGGACAACATTGGACCCCTTGGGGCAGGTTGGAGCCCTGGTGGGGCCACATTGGTGCCAACTTGCGGCCATATTGGGGCATTATTGGCCCATGTTGGGCCGCTTAGGGACAAATGAGAGCCACGTTGGGGCCAAGTTGCATAATTTTGAGCGACATCGTTGACCTCTTGAGGCATCACAGGGCTTTCGTGGGGCGCTGTTGAGCCTTCACTGGCTCTATTGGCGGCAGATTGGGGATTCAGGGGGGCACATCCAGCCTAAATTTGGCAATCCTGCGGCTGTCTTGGAGCCTTTGCGGCGTCTTGGTGCCACGGCACCTTTCGGCTTCTCAGAAGCCACGCCTGCGACGGGCAAACAAAGTTGTAGACCCCATAGATGGTATGTGCCGACGTGCCTTGAGGCCTCCCGGCGCTTCTAGCAATTTGGTGATACATTGGGGCGGTGTTGAGCGGTCCATTGTTTTGAAGGCCCCAAACAGGCTTCTCTCACGTTGTGTGAGCGGCGAGTCTCCAGAGCGCTGGTCTCGCCTTTGTCTGGCCTCTTGGGCGGCAAGCGTTGTGCCTCCACACCTCCCTGGGCACCCAGACGCTGAGAGGCCAGTGGGCCGTGGGCGGCCGCACGTTGCGGCATGACCTGTTCGAGCGAAGGTCCGATGGCCGCTGGCCACAACTTCGATCGATCCAGAGATCACACAGGGGCTGCCGCGGTCGGCGTCTTGGGGAGCGCGTCGGTCTGGGCCAGATCCGGGGCCCCCCGAGGGGCCCCGCACCCTCGCGCTCCCGGTCTCGTCCTTGCGAGCAGCGCCGGCTTCAAGAATTTAAGCCCGCGCGCGACCCAATGCCAGAAGCACCCTGCTTGCCTGCAGGGTGCCCTGGGTTTCTTGGGGTTCGATGGTTTCGCCACGGGGAGCGTGACGCTCCCAAGCCGAGGATGAATGGGCACCCCTGGGTCTCAGGGTTGGGTTTCTGATGGAAAGTTTCTTGCGGATTGGCCTCCACTGTGTGAACTCACTACTTGTTGGAACCAATCCATCATAGAGATCCCACTGGATACCAGACTGCATGAAGGACGAGCACTTCCGAGCTCTACGTTGACCATATTGCAGAAAACAGCCGTGCTGCTTCATGAGAGACCTTGGTCCGCGCAGTTGGGCGGCCCCTTGAGGCCCGAGTGTGCGTCGAAACGCGTGGCGTTAGAGCAACTTGGCGCGATTGAACTAAAAGGCTCTCAAGCTGTGGTTGCACAGTTGTTTCCAACCATCCTGTGGTACTCGTTTTGAAGAGACAGCGCCCCGCGTTCCTCACTCACTCCTCCTTCCTCCTCCCCATCCTCCTCCTCTTCCTCCTTCCCCTCCTGTTCCTCCTCCTCCTCTTCCTCCTCCTCCTCCTCCTCCCCCTCCTCCTCCTGGCCCCCCTTGCTCAGGCGATCGCGCACCTGGGGTAGGCGACCCAGCACACCCAGCTACCGTACCATCGCAAATGCATGGCCCCCACGGTCAGCTTTCCACATTGTACCTTCCTTTTTTTTGCGACGCTGACGTTCTTGCATAGGACTTGTATGTATGCGGATGAGCTGAGGTTACATGAGATCAGTGCGGAGTTCCAGTACATAGACCCGAACGCCTTCACCATCACGGGCGAGCGTTCCTCGCAAGAACAGCCAGCGACACGGTTTCATTGCATGTTGCACTTCGCCGTTCACCTGGGATATATGCCGAGCCGCCACTCCAAAAAGTCTTGTGGCATCATGCTGCTGGTCCGCAAGAAGACGCTCCGAATGAAGCATCTGATAGACACGCCAGCAGTCCCTGAGCAGTTACGAGGACGGGTGGCATTACACAGGCTGCGCTCAAGGCGCTTCGATTAGCTCATCCCCAACACCTACTTCTCCCCTCGTCCGTCGGCCAGGAAAGAATGCCGTGAGTGCGCGGCCCCTGAAGCGCATCGTCGATACCAACAGACAACCGGTGCGATGTGCCAGTGGTTGGAGAGAACGTTGTCGTGGGCGCCTGCGCGCGCGAGCCTTCTGCGGGGCTTCGAACTGAATGATTCGTTCGGATGGAGACGGAAGGGAGGAGGCCAGGCCGCAGCGGTCTCCCATGCTCTTGGAAGGTCTTGCAACGTGAGCGGTATTACTCGTGTGATCGTGTCCTCGAGGTGATCGAGAAATGTGCGATCAGAGTGGTCTCTACGGATTTCCCGACGGGGTCTACGTATCATGGTTCGCTTTCTGCGTCGCGTGTCGATTCCACAGCGACCTTCGCGTGGCAGGCCGAGGCTTTGAGGAAGCGCTTGCCATTTGTGAGATCGAACCTTCGGTTTAAGCTTGCGCGCGAGCAAGGGGCCCGGGACCACGTACCCGTGTTTTTGTCGGTTGAATTTTGCGGTCGATATGCCCCGTTCGAAGATCGAAAGTGCGCCCCGGGAGTTCGACCGCCTTGCCCAGGCCCTTCGACATGGGAAGGGGGTCGCTGACTTTGTCGCGGACCTAGAGAGGGCCTTCGAGGACGGGCCTGACTTCCACGAGCTGTGCCTTCACGCGCCCGCGCCAGGCGAGGCTTGGGAGCGCTGGATCACCGCGGTGCATGCGGCGGCAGAGCGGCACTCCGGGAGGGCCACCGCCGTCGACCCACGTGCTCGCAGGTTCGCGGAGGAGAGGTTGAGGTCGTTGGCTGAGCGACACCCGATTCGGGAGATCGGGGGTGAGGACGACCGCGCGCGCACGCAGCTCGCGCGGGTGTCTCGTCGGCCCCGCGCGCTTCGTCGCGCCCGATTCGGGGGGTCGACGGGCGAGCTCGCGACCGCGATCGGGCGGGCCTTGCAGGGGGGCGCCGCGCGGAGCAGCGGCGGCTCGCTCACCTCCTGGCGGGCATGCGGGGCGGCCCGAGGAAGAGGAGGCACGACGTTGCGGATAGGGTTCGTGCCACGGAGAGATGACGTGGAGCAGCATATGCCCCTGCCTGGTCCTGGGGGTGGGCCGCGGGCCGCCCCTGTCGAGCCCGAGGGGCACCTGGGCGAGAGGGCGGCGCGACCCCCGCCCCCCCAGACGTCCGGGCCCGACAACTTCGCGCGCGTCGAGGAGGGGGGGGGGGGGGGCGACTACGCGGAGGTTCAGGCTCTGCTCGAGGAGGCGCCGAGAAGGAAATCAGCCCCTGTCCACGGTGCACCGATTGAAATCCCGACGCGGGCCATCGAGCCGAACAGACGATTCGACGGAACACGCGGGAGGCCCCGCAGGAGAAGGGCCAATGATGATGGGGGCGGCCCCGACCCTGAGGATGCGGGGGTTGCGCAGACGATCGAGTTCGCTCCGCGAAATAGGCTGG